CATGATTAGAGAGACTCCAATTGTTTCCTTTCCTGTTTGGCCTGCGAGTGACTCAGGTAACTGCATGTCCTTGTCCCTGGGCCAGTGGACCCAGAACTGCATGGAGGGTGCTCCCCCAAACGTCTTCTGGGCCTTTTCTCTCTTTTGGCTCAGTCACCCCCTCTTCTAGATTCTAATTCACAGACATTTGTCACCTTTCTAAAAAGTGTTCATATTTTCTTGGTTAGGGGATAGCCTTTTTAAAGTAACTTTATATACCAGCTAACGCTTCATACATAAATGCTAACTTTTGCATGTCCAAATGGGTTGGTAGAAAATAGGAGCCCCTGTAATACTGGGTGGTTGCAAGTCACTGTGATTAAAAGATGTAATAACCACCACAGCTGTTCTGGGCAGCTTGTCTACCCCTTATCCTTGCTGAGGTCTTCCATCTCTTCTCAAGCTAATACTTCATTCTCGCCCCACGCCTGCCCTGACTTCCTTCATCAGATTCAAGGGTAGAAATGCGTTGGTTTCCTCCTAAATATTTGTCATAGGTTGCTATTTTTTAATATTTTATTTATACACTGTATTTCCTGAAATAGTGTCACATGCAGGTGCTTAAGACTAATTGATAACTTCATGAATAATGAAAAGGAGACATAAGAATGTCAGAATAATTCAAAATTACCAAATATGTATATATGAGGCTGTGCTATTTAAGGAGGCCTATATGAGAATTATAGCTATTAAAAATATATACACCCTTGTAAGTGGATGCTACGTAGTTCATGATATATTAGGTTGGCCAAACATTGGTTTGTCTTGTTTTGTTTTTCCATAAGATGACTCTAGTAGCACTTAGTTGTGTTTACCTTCATTCGAAACAATTTTATTGGATTGTATTGTGACAGCTGTCATATCAGTGTGCATTAAAAAACTTATCAAAATTAATGAAAATGAGAAAAATAAGCAACATTTTTGGCATATTATGTTTTATTATTTCAAGAAAGATAAAAGCACAACTGAAACACAAAAAAGACTTGTGCAGTGTATGGAGAGAAGGTGCTGTGACTGACTGAACATATTTAAAGTGATTTGTAGTTTCGTGCTGGAAATTTCTCACTGGACGATGCTCCATAGTCAGGTAGGCCAGCTGAAGTCGATAGCAATCAAATCAAGACATTAATTGAGAACAAAGAACACTCTAACATGTGAGAGACAGCTGATACACTCAAAATATCCAAATCAATAAATTTATTGGTAAAAATGAAAAATATCTTTTATGGAAAAAAGCATACGACTTTTTAGCCAATCCGTAGAAATTATTATGATTTGAATAATAGAAACATTGATGTTTGCCTCTTCAAAGCATAAAGAGACCTATGTGATAACTGGTTCCCTAAAAGATTAGGGATTTTTCTATGAGGTGAATAGAAGTTCAAGGCATTTAATAATTAAATGAATATTCAAGTTTAAATGTTCTTTATTCTAATCCTAGAAAGTTTGAGACAGTTGATAATAGAGGCAAATGTTTTAGTCATCGACTTTAGGTCTGTGGGGAATTCAATGAACAACTTGCCACAGATGTCAGGTTCAAGGCCTTTTTGCTTTGTTAGAATCTAGATGGCCATTTGTTTCTGAATATGCAAACATTATTTTAGTGATTGAAAAAATGTGAACAAGTGAGGCTTTTAGTATTGACTTGATGGATGCATGAGTTCAAGGGTATTAAGTTATGATCCTCTTGTGAAACAATATCAATTATTGCATGGATAAATATAAATGTATACACATGTATATTGATTACATACATGTGTATACATATTTGTGTTATATATACACACAAACACACAAATGCATGCATATATACTTATATATAGTATGTTAACAATGTGAAATATTGGCATATAGTGTTGGCCTAAAGCAACATTTCAGGGAAGAAAATCTAGCTATACTATTTAATTTAAAATTAAAGTTTCTTTGTAACATTAAATTCTTGTTTGTTTGGCTGTGTGTGGAAAGTGGACTATGGACAGCAAGAATGGAAATATGTCAATAGGAATAAAATAATGCAGAACTGGGCTGAAGTGGTGAGTGCAGTTGTTGAGACATTGTATACAGGGGTAAGAAAACCAAATCAATGACTAATTCTAGATTTTTAATTTGAGCACCAGTCAAGCAAGTGACTGGTGGTGTCATTTACTTAGAAGAAAAACAATGAGGGGGAAGTAGTTTGGGAGATGGTAGGAATTATAACATCAGTGTGAACATGTTTCTTTCCATTTCATGTTGTCTATCCATGTGATTATATTAAGTAGGTAATTCAGTACATAAGTATAGAGGGCCAAGGATATTTTGTATAAATTTGGGAGCAACAGAAAATACAGAAGGTGTTTAAGCCGTGGGACTGTAGAAGTTGCTAAGGAAAAGTGTTTAGAGAAGAGAAGAGGATCCATGGGAGATGTTTGGAAGAGTTCAAGTAATTAGAGATCATGAAGAGGAGGTTTAGCTGGCCAAGGTGCCTGAAAAGGACCAGATAGTAAACTTAATATAAAACAGGGATGATGGCCCTGGCTGGTGTGGCTCAGTGGATTGAGTGCCGGCCTGTGAACCAAAGTCACTGGTTCAATTCCCAGTCAGGACACATGCCTGGGTTGTGGGCCAGGTCCCCAGTAGGGGGTACATGAGAGGCAACCACACATTGATGTTCTCTCCCTTCCTTCCCCTCTCTCTAAAAATAAATAAATAAAACATTTTAAACAGGGATGATGTAGTAATATTTGTCAAGGCAAAAGGAGAATGTGTTTTGAGGAGGAGCGAGTGGTCAATTGTATTACCATGGATGAGAGACATAGAACAGAACAGAGAAGTGAACAATGTATTTGACAAGATGGAGGTCCAAGATGAATGTGACACAAATAGAGGAAATGTGTTTTTTAAAATTGAAAACATTTGCTTTAGATTCAAATAAAGCTGCACAAAAGGAAAAGTATCTAATTCCAAGGAAAACTTTCTTGAGAGGTCAAAACAGGTGGGCTTGGCAGGTTGGGTGGAATAGTTTGATTTTAATTCAAGTAAAGTCACTTCACTATAATTAAAGTTGATAAGGAGAAAGTTGATGGGGAATCTCAAGGAAGATTTATTTTTTTCTCATATCCCATGGAGCACAGAGTCTGTAGGTGAGAGTGAGTCTATTGACTTTTCAACTACTTAATTTTCCTTCAAAACTCTTAACTGTTTGGCAAGAATACTTTGTCAGACTTAACTCAAAATCTTCCATGTTGCTATCAACCCCCAAATATAAGCATGCTAATTCATCAAGGGTTTCAGTACCAAGATCATTTTACCCTTCCTACCATCCTTCCTGGCATGATGATCCGTAACTGATTCACCTACAGCCATTGGTGGTCTTTCGTGATTTCAGTCTTGCTGTCCCCATCACCTGTTCCCCTGCCCCAGTTCAGTCATGGATTTTTATGGACGTGTCTTTGGCTGCTCAACTCTCATGCATAGGTGCACTGCTGTTGAAAAGCTACTTCAAGCACCTCTCTCTCTGCCCACCACACCCCTCCCATGCAATTCTGTTCTCTGATAAAGACCTATAATCCATTGATGCTACTGACATCTCCTCAGTATCTGCCCTTTACTACTTCCCTTCTCCCTTACCCAATCATGTGGCGTGGGCCTTCCTTATTACCACTCCTGTGCACATGCCCCTGTCCTCCTCTCCCCGTCTCTCCTTCCACTGTCGCTACTCAGTAAATCCAACCCTTTGCTTTTTATGCACTTTCAAATACATGCATCAGGTGGAGCAAGAGAGACAAACAGGATGACTGGTTTCACATTAATGACAGCAGACCTCAAAGGGTCAGTCCACAGTGCTTAGCTGTTCCAATATACTCGTGTGTGTGTGTCCATTCTAAAAAAATTACTTCTCTCGCCTCCTCAGACTACCATCTTCCCTCTGCGCTTTCAGCTGATATCCTTGTCTCATATGCCACCCAGGATAGAGAAGCCATCAACAAATAACTTCCTCAGATTCTCAACACCAAAATACCTATTATAGCACAAAGACGATAGCATCTGTTGGTTTATGGTTGATTTTCTGTCCCAATGTTTTCTCATGCTTCCTCTTTCCTTTTTCTGTTTCTTGCAGTTTGTAATACAGCAGACTTGAAGTAGATGATTCCATTTAATAATAGTTGAGAACTACTATGTAAATGTAAAATTCTTGCTTGGCCTAAATTAAGTATATATGTTTGTTTATCTAATTCTTTTTTATTTGCTTAACTATTTGTTTTTAAATGAGAGCCCTTAATTCACCCAACTAGAAAGAACATGAGTGGAATCTGAAAGTGTTCATTATGAGCACAGAGTGAATTTTGTGTATGGGGAAAAAAACTAGACCCAATAAGAATGATTTTTCACTAATGTTCGGATAGCGGATATTTTTTAAAACCTTTACACATCAAAATAGTCATGCAATTTTAGGGGTTCTGCTTTGAAATCTATCTGTGGAACCCTAGTCAAGACCCTAAATGAGAGAGATACCCTCAAAAACAGGTTAAAATAAATAAGGTTCGTGTTATCAACACAAGAAATGTTATTAAGTATGTGGGAATGCACAGGATGTCTACAGATGTTTCATTTCAGAGGGACCTGTAACCACGACCGGGGCTGCTAACTCTATTGTAAATGGATTTTAGGAGCCTAACAATAATAATAGAATTGCTTGAAGTTTATAATGGCATATTCAAAGCCTCTGTGGAGATAACTGTACACTGGCGTTTATTTTGTCCTCTCTGACCTAAAAGCAAAGCGATTACTGACAAGCAGGTGAAGAACCAAACATAACGTCAACGAAGTTTTAGACTAAGCACACATTTATTGTTATTAATATGACCGATGATGGAGTCAGCAGGACTTGATGATTGGCTATTCACTTAATGAAATGAATTGAGCAAATTATAATCAAACATAAATGTTGAGGTTTTTTTTTTTTTAAATTGTTCAATTAGGTATTCAATTGACAGAAACACAGACTTGGAGAGATACTTCAACATTGATGCCAACAGTGGAGTGATTACAACTGCCAAATCTTTGGATCGGGAGACAAATGCTGTTCATAATATTACAGTCCTTGCGATGGAGAGCCGTAAGTTGAAAGGTTTAAAATTAAATTAGGATGGGGGACATGGAGTGTAGAGAATGGGATGTCATGATGTTATAATTTAAACTCCAATTATATTAGGTGCTTATTTCCATTGAACGAAAGCTTGAAAATCCCTCATTTGAAGCTGTGAAATATATGTATATTCATTAGTTTTCTATGCTAACACTTACAAAATTAATGAAAGAGAACACTATGAAATAGTGGGACTGAATCACCTTCACAAAGCTTCTTGCCGTCCTGTGGTCATATTTCACACGCTGCATTTATGCTGATGTGGAGTTGGTCAGAGAGCTTACGAAAATCAGTAAATCGATTTGTCTACCTAAGATGCCCAGATTTGCACATTCTGATACAGAACTCGTTTTAGCCCCTGATAAGAAAAACATTAACAGAACAATGCATAATTATAATGTGTTGTTTTATATATGTATAGAATATACATGTATCTTCAAATATAAGCTCTAACATCAAAGAATAGTGAAATACATGGTTTATACGTCATTCTTTCAACAATTCACTTATGAAGGACTAAAAAAATACACAAGTATGCTATCTCTAAGTGCATATAGGTACAGTTATATGATATTTGGATCAAGTTTTCTGTAGCTATATTTAAAAAAGTATTCAGTGTTATGACTGTAGATTTTATTTGAGGCCTGGTCATTTTCTCATTAGCATTATACTTTAGCGAGGCAAACAGTTTGGGTTGATGTTAACTGTTTTTAACATGAGTTTCCTGAATAAAAGAAAACCTAGAGTAAAAGTACTTTTACCGAGTGACCAGCAGTGGGAAAACAGATTTCCTCTGACAGTAAATGACAACCTTTTCCTCCTGATTAGAGAATCCGTCCCAAGTAGGGAGAGGCTTTGTGGCCATCACGATCCTGGACATCAATGACAACGCCCCCGAGTTTGCCATGGACTATGAGACCACCGTCTGTGAGAACGCGCAGCCGGGCCAGGTAAGCAGCTTCCCCACAGCACGCTCCTGGCTTGTCGTTTCTTTCAGCCTGACTCCGAGGTAGTTGCCTTTGAAATCCTGCCAGCGTTAAGATAAAATATAATCAGCATGTTTCAGCAAAACGAACACTTTGATGTGTAGCATAAACTAATATGAAAGGCACTTTCAAATTGTGGTTTAATTGGGATGATGAAAAATCCGCAGGAAGAAAGGTAAACACTGTAAAAGCCACAGCGGACTGAGAAGGGCTTCACGTCCTGGAAGGGAGAACCGGGTGCACTAAGCTGGATCTGGCTGTGTCCCGCATCTCACAGTGGGGCACAGGGCCTTGAAGTTCTGAGGATTAAGTACAATTTAACCTCGGTGTGGTCTGTCCTGTGCATCCATGGCGTTCAGTGTCTTGTGATCCTTAGCAGGACGGTTAAATCATTTGGGGCACCTTATTTCTGAGGTTCACGAAGGTAAATTCAAATGTGGATTTTGAAAAGGATGTGATTTGTCTTTCAGAGCCCTGTTTAGATTGGGTTCATGGTGGTACATCTGCTCCTAACCCGCGGCTGATTCGGGAAGTTGGCACTCACGCTAAGGTGCAAACCTTCCCTGTCCTGCCCACCAGCGTGCCCTCACGCCTTCCGTTCCCCATCCCCAGGTCATCCAGAAAATCAGCGCCGTGGATAAAGACGAGCCATCCAACGGGCACCAGTTTTATTTCAGCCTAACCACCGATGCAGCTAACAACCACAACTTCTCATTGCAAGATAACAAAGGTGAGGCGCGGTCACTGTCGCGGTGCGGGCAGCAGGTACGCACTCTGAGCAAGTGCTCTTGTTCATGCAGGGATGCTGATTAGGGACTTTTTTTTAATATATCAGCAAAGACATTAATTAGAGAGCAATAAGCCCCTAAGGTAATTTTTATCTATGGATTTGCTGTCATGAAGAAGCTGCCATGTAAATAATTTTAGGCCTAAATCCAAATGGGGGGCAGCCACATCCATCTCTCTCTGTCATTTCTTCTAGACATTTGCTTCCTTAGTTGTTTACCGAGCTCTTTAAATTGTCTAATCAGTTGAGAGCTGGCTAAATGCCTCTATCAGAACTGCCCTACAGGTGTAACTTGAGACATCGGGAAAATACTAATTGCACCTGACATAGTTCAACCTAAATCAACTTAGACTTAAAAGAATAACTAACATTAATACTGAAACTATTATTTTAACCTAGAAAGTGATCCATGTAAAGAATAAAAAAATATTCTTGATGCAAAGAAATGTAAAATTAAAAAGAACTAAAGAACCCTGTCATCCTAAATTTCATTCTTCTGCTTCAAATGGAATAACTCTAATCAGTGTCCTAAGTGTCATTATAGAAACATTGTTACAAACACCTGTAAGTAAATTCTGGTTTCACTTAATTATACATATATAATTATGCATATGTAATTGTAGACATGTAGACCATATATAGATAATTATAAGAACTTGGAAGTAAGCATGCGAACATGTTATCTTTTATATAAATTTAAATTTATATAGTCACATGGTTTTCATTCAGGGCATTTATTTTAGCAGAAGAAGAACATTTGCAACTAATATCTATGTAAAGAAAAGTATTCCCCCAAAATTTATAAAATGCAATTCTTTCAGATTAAATATGTGAACAGGGTTTCAGGAAAAGAATGTAGAAATAGGTTTGCTAGCCAAATACTGATGTATCTAAGAAGCCAGGCCCGCTCTCAGAAGATAGACATTATAAATGCTCTTGCCTGAAGCCACCCCCTTCCTCAGTGCCAAAAACCCATATTTGGCCTCAAAAATTCATTCTGAAATAATATTTTCCCATTCCCTTTTCTGCTCAATAAGAACACTATCATACCCCTTAGTAACCAAAACAACAGAACGTCCTCCACGTGAGTAACCCCAGCTCTCTGACTCAGTCGCAGCTGGCGGAGCAGCGCTCAGCACTTGTGTTCCCCCAGAACAATGCGGGGAACTGGTGACCTTCCCAAGAAGAGTGTGACTGTCCCCCCATGCAGCGTCGCCCAGCACCACCACGACTGCTGGGCAGCATGTGCACTAACATGTCTGGACTTTCAGGACACAGACGAAAGATTTCCCTAAGTCAGGTCTGGAGCTCCCTGCCCTGCACCCGTAAGGAAAACATGTAGGATAAACAGAACGTTGGTTCTTATGTTGGCTACTATCTTAGGAAACACATGCAAAGCCTGTTGAGTTTTATGGTCTCTTTCCATAAAATGAGAAACATAGGGTTCTCTTCTTACATACGGGGCATTGAAGGATGTGCTGCTCATTCATTGTGTGTTTGAGTGTGTTATTTAATGTTAGACATGAGATTACTAATTAACTTTGTGTCTCAAATCAAATACGTGAAACATCGGAATGATTGATTGGGAGCCACAGACATAGATGTGTGTGTTCACACATGTGTGGGCCCCAAAACTGGAAATTAATAAAAACTATGTATTTATTCTTACGTGTTCAAACTTCAGTCACCTTCAAAGTGCTCTCCATTTGATGCAATACACCTATTGAGACATTTTTTCCACTGCTCAGAACAGTTTTTGAACTTGTTGATTTTGATATCTTTTAGTGCTTCTGCTGTTTTTTGTTTCACCTCTTTCACATTTCCTTTGAGGACTTTTTTCATCCAGGGAAACAAAAACAAAGTCACTAGGGTCAAGATCAGGCGAATAGGGAGGGTGGGGTAGGGGGTTCATGCTGTTTCTGGTCAAAAACCGCTCAGTGTGGTGTGGGCAGGTACACTTGTGAATCACCCACTGCGAAATGGGGCAAACACAATGAAAGAGTCTTCAAAAAAAAATCACTAAAGCCAAATTCAGCCCCTCATATAATACTGGCTGATGCAAATGGGGTCCTAAAACACTCAGCAAGTGGGGGAAGCCTGCACTACAAAGGGCCTGCCCTCCGGAAGTTAATTCCGTGTTTTTGGGGTCCCCCTTTCCTGTACAGAACCGTGCTCAAGACAGTATTCTTCAACAACTCCCCATGTAATTTTTTTCAAATGAATGCCTCTCAAATTCATACATTTTAAAAGATTTGTTTACATAACCTACCAGATAGTATCTGGAAAATAAAGTTTTATTCCTGTCTCACCTGTAATTCCAGGTTACACATTTTCTGCCATCTCATGTGAGCTTACTGATCTGCACATGTGAGACAATGGGTTTCAGCTTTCTTTTTCATTAGAATATTGTTAATTTGTCAATGGCTCCATTGGATAAGGCCCTGGCTGACAGCTTGGAAAGCACAGTGAATGAACCTGTGGCCCAGGTTTTCCTCCTTTTCCTTTATTCTGTGCATTTAAAGAATCACATAAATTCCTAATTAGTTATTTGAAACAAGTTAACTAGATAGATTGCTAGCAGATAAAAATCTATTTCGGTTATAGAAGTCATGGTTTGTGATAGAGTGATTGGCCACTGCTAAAACTTTTGTAATTGTACTTCTTTAGATGAAAGAAAATGTCAAGTATCAATTAAATACAAATGACCCATTTTATCACCGACAAAATGTTTATATTCATGGTGTTTTGATAACTATATATACCAGTATGGATTTTTTTTAAAAAAAGCTGTAAAATAATTCCCTTCTCCAATAGCTCAATTTAAATGAAACGACAGTGGCTTATTTCACTTGTTTCTGTATTGGGTTTGGGATTTGTCGAAGAATGCGAGTGAAATTTATGTTATCTGATGATGCTCCTAACATACTTAACCTGTTCATTTATTTCAACCCCTCTGTGAGTATAGGGTTTGAAATGTAAAATAATTAAAATAGCATGTCATAGGTAATTTTTTACGAAGTTGCAGATTCTATTAGAAGTGATAAACATTTTCCTATTCAGTTGTACTTTACAACTGGTTCTTTGGTTTTCACCGTCCGGCATGACAGATACAATGAAGTGAACCAGTATTAGACATGCCGCGCTCTGTCCAGAGGAACTGAACAGAGCGACTGGCATAAGGCGAGGCTGGCAGGACCGACTCCACCAGCGGCCGCACGCTAACAGCTTTGCCTGCTTCCTCCCAGACAACACAGCCTCCATTCTCACCAGGAGAACCGGCTTCCGGAGGCAGGAGCAGTCGGTGTACTATCTGCCCGTCTTCATCGTGGACAGCGGCTCGCCCTCCCTCAGCAGCACCAACACCCTCACGATTCGCGTCTGTGACTGCGATGCGGACGGAATAGCGCAGACCTGCAACGCCGAGGCCTACGTGCTGCCGGCCGGCCTCAGCACCGGGGCGCTCATCGCCATCCTCGCCTGCATCCTGACGCTGCTGGGTAGGTCCTGGGTAGGTCCTGGGTAGGTCCTGGGTTCCCAGCCACGCGGTGCGAGTGGCCGCAGCAGCCACGCAGCGCCGCTCCTCTCTCTTCTATGTGCCTTTTCGAGACCACAGGCGGATGATCTATGAGATGGTAAACATCTTGCCTACTGAGCAGCCCGTGATCACTAGCTCCCCTCTCCAGTGGTATATTTAAAAAATTATAACTCAGGAAAAAAAAAAAAAAGCAGGGCTCTTTTTCAAACAACAGGAAAGATGAATGGCTTATGTTTAAAGCTGAATGTTTTTCAAGGGTTGTTTTTTATTCTTGTAATTTACCATATCTTGGCTGTTTGCCTTAGAATGTCCTGCAGAGGACATATATTAGAGAGAACCTTTTTTATGTTGTTTAATAATATGCTTATTTTAGGAATTATGCTTTATATCCTAGCTCTTCTCAGAAAAGATTTAAGGTGGTTTTTCTAAGTATGTGCAAATTTTGGAAGATTGCAATTTCAACGTGCAAAAGTTACAATTCCTCAAGAAGAGCTAACATATTTAATGGTACTTCTCTGTGATTACTACATGGTGAAATTAGATTTATAACTCATATTAGAATTGCCATTTTTATAAGAGATTATGCGGCATCCTTTTAAAAATTGGGAGACATCCAACGTGGGCATTGGTCTTATCCATCCCTCACCTATATTCTCCTTCACAGTGTAACTTCTTACAGTGAAGGCAACCAGCCTTCCATGTTGCATCTGAGACCACTGTGTGTTTTCTTGGGGGTTAATTTCCAAATCCATTTACAATATAGTTTTGTAGAAGCAGAATTTAGCAATGGGAGTCATCATTGTGTAATGTTTAAAAACGAGATTTAGGGGGTTAGGTGTGCCTAGCTTTTATTACTGCTCCCAACATGCACTGTTTCTTTACCAGAAGAACATCGAGTCTTTTTAGGCTGGCTTCTTAATGTAAAAGGGGCAGATAATAAATCTAGACCCATAAGGTCATTGTGAAAATAAAGTGAGACAATTCGCGTGCCTGCCACAGAGAGAACATTTCATAAATTTTAAGTGTTATCAATGAAACAAGTTCTCAACCTATTAAGCAACCTAAGCCTTACTTACTAATACACGGTAAGTACTCTCATAAAAAAATTAAAGTTATTATCTTCAGCTAACCAAATAAGTCTAAAAGGGAATAAGATATTTTTTCATATAGCTTCATACAGGTGGCAGGAATTCATTAGAAATGGCAAGTAATTCCCTGTTAAAGCCTGATTAGAATGTGAGGGACTAGAATACATTTAAAAAACATGAAACCATTGAAAACTACTTTTGACTGTTCTACCAGGTTCCAAAACATAATAGTGAAAATGTAAATTGCATATTAATTCTGTAGCAGTTGAATAACCTAGATGAGAAAGCAAAGATGTTCCTTAGTATTTAAAATGGCAATGTCTTGAGCTCAAAAGAAGCGTCAGAAAAAAAGGAGGGATAGACGGTGTGTTAATGACTCTTTTTGAACTTGACCAGTTCCTCACACAAAAGGACTAAGATAAAATTGTAATCCCTAGAATTTAATCATACCCAAGACTTAATTAGCCTTTGATTTTTTAAAGGCTGTCTGTCTAATGAAGCTTACTTCTTTCAGAAAATATTTTTACCTGTGACTTAGGGATTCTTTGTAATTTAGGTTGCTTGATGATTCTAATTAGTTAGGAATCATTACCTAGAGATTACTGAAAATGAGTGAGAGAGTTTTATTAGATTCCAATCTTGCCGATGATGCATGTATACCTTGCATGTACGATTATAGATCTGGGGGTTTTAGTCAAAGTTTAGTTAAGCATGACTATTTTTGTTAAATTTGAACATTTCCCTTAAAACGACATCAGATTAAAAATGCTTCTTTGACTTCTAAGGATCAGGTGTTTATGTGCTGTATTTTATTCCTCATTTAAAGTTTCTGCTAGTTTACAAAAACATAATCCAGTCTATTGTACGGAACTACGGGCTTCTTCCTTCAGTTTCCATTGTCCTGTGAGACTCAGCCCAGGGATCAGTCTGTTTCAATGTTAGCATTTCTGTTCAGAGTTGCGACTCTTTCTACCTTATTTCCTAAGTCCTTAGAAGCAGATAGTCAGGACTTTTTATACTCTCTGGGTCTATCTCCTCTATCATAGACTCTGGGTTGTCACAATTGGTGTCAAGCTCATGGGGCCAGTGCTCAGAGGGCATGCGGACGATGCACAGCCTGATACAGAACGTGACTTCTAGGGCACAAAGGACTCGCTTTTTACGGCACCTCCGCAAGTGGCGGAAATCTTATTTCTAGACCCTCAGTATCAGGATTTGTAACTCAAACCATTGCAGGCTTCTGAACAACTATTGCTGGAAAGGGGAAAGGAGCAAGGAGAAGAGGTGGCAATGGGGAAGAAGAGCTGGAGAATCAGGCTAATTTAAGGGCAAAAGTAAAGAAACAGCTGGGCCCTATGTCCAGTTTGTGTCCCAGGGACGTGACCAATTAAAGCTGCATGTGACACAACAGAAGCATGCCCTGATGTGTCCAGAAGGTTAATGCTGGAAGGCATCACAGAAATCAGTTCCAGCCCAGACCCCCGCATCAGGGGAAGAGGAGGAGCAGTCAGTTCAAGGATTTCCAGGAGTTCCCAGAACAAGTTTGGCCTTTAAGGCATACAATTCTGAGTCTCCTTATGCTCAGTCACTGCTTTTAGATTTAAGTACAAAGGGAATACGCCCTGAAGATATGAACATTGCTGTTCATATGTGGTCCTTTCTTTCTCAAGATGTGAAATTCACAGTGTCTGAAGCTGGATTTGAGTCCTCACCTATAGCTGTATTCTTCTCTCTTCGTGGATGAGCTCTTTTTCTGATTTCTCCCTCATCATCCTTCTCTAATTTGCCCACACCTGAATTGTTAAATGAAAGAGATGATCCAAAAATTAGAAGACAAGGTTCCCTTTATTTATACCAAGTACAATTTGCATGGGAGATATTATCATATTCAAGTTCATATAAAGTCATCAATCACATGCCTAAATTATTTTTCATGTATTATAATTTCCCGAGTATTTGGCAAGATAGTCTAATACATATTCTAATACTTGAATATGTATTTTGCCCTAACTCTAACACCAATTTCATTATGCATTTTTATCATAGTATAATGTTGATAATATACACTTACTTTTCAACCAGGCTGAAAGCACTTTAATATATCAGTTATTATTCATATAATTTTTTAAACTATTACTTCAGTGGGTTTTAAGAAATTATCAGAGCAAAAGAATTTCAGTAGTTTTGTTTTAAAATATGGTTTTAGTATTAAATGTAAATTTATTCAGAGACTATTACAGCTAGATGCTTTCTGTGAGTTTGCACAAAGGAGCTTTTTGCTGCTCACTAAAACTGTCACCGATTTTGTGTTTTCTTCATTTGGACCTTTGTGTCTACGTAACTGAAGGCCTACGACATCCCCCTCTCGACTGCTGGCTCTTCACACACGTTGGGATTGGTTAGACTGGCCCAGCTGCAGGTTCAGGAAGGCATGTGGGGAACCACTGTTTACCGATGGAATTCAGGTGCTTCCGGGGTGGCCGCTGGATGTGTCGTTGTCATGCGCCTTTTAACTTTCCTTCCCCGATCTACCAGCTAAACCGTATTTTCTTTTCTGTAACTGTGGCCCTCATGGTGTTGTTCAACAGGGGAAAAAATCCTGGTTATATACGTGATAGTGCATAATACCTTCATAAAATACAGATTAGATTGCTGAGGAAAAAAATGGCAACACTGTGAAAGATTACGCCCCGTTGTAATGGACAGTGACGGCACCTGTTTGTCACAGCCACCCTAGTGATCACAAAGGACGGGCCACAGGGGCTAGATTATGGTCGCAGATGTGCTCATTTTTTGAACATCGTAAAACATGAATTACACTTAATGAGCATGTACTAAATGGTTTGTAAGTATTACCTAATTCTAATAACATATTTCTTAGGTAAATATTTAGGATTATTATGCCCACTTTTTATATGAAAAAACAATGTGAAGAAATGTGCACAAAGTTATAGGGTGCCAGAGCCAGGACCCGAACACAGATGAGACTACTTTCTGGTTGTCATTTCTGAGATCTTCTCCCGATGGGTTTCCCAGTACGAAAGGCCTGGATGTCTCTGGGGCGTGCCTGTCACTGTGTGGGTACCACAGCCGCTGATAAATTAGAGGCGACTCTATCTTTGATCTGTTTCTCATATTGGCTTTACCATTTCTTTGGTTAACTCTGTATTGACTTCAGTATTTTTCATCAATGTCTTAGTTTTCAGAATGCAGATCTTTGGCCTCCTTGGTTAAATTTATTCCAAGGTATTTTATTTTTTGATGCAATTTTAAATGGGACTGTTTTCTTAATTTCTATTTCTGATATTTCATTATAGTGTATAGAAATGCTACTAACTTCTGTATATTAATTTTGTATCCTGCAACTTTACTGAATTTATAATAGCATTTTTGGTAGAGTCTTTAGGGTTTTCCACGTATAATATGTCATCTGTGAATCATGACAGTTTTCTCTCTTTCCAGGTAGGATGGGTTTTTTTGTTTGTTTGTTTGTTTTCTTGTCATTGTTGTGGCTAGAACTTCCAGTACTAGGTTGAATAAAAACCGTGAGAGTCAGCAACCGTATCTTATTCCTGGCTTTAGGGGTGAAGCTTTTAGCTTTTCACTGCTGACTCTGGTGCTATCTGGGAGTCTGTCATACATCCATGGCCTTCATTATGTTGAGATAAGTTCCCTCTATCCCACTTGGTAGTAGCTACGATGCAAACCAAGGCTGGCCACTGCCTGTACTGGGCTCGGGCTGCTTGGGAATTATTACTGTGCCAGCTGAGGTTGGTCACCATATTTGGCAGCTCTGGTTAAGGTGTGGGTTGGAGCGGGGAGGCTTCAGGTGTATGTGGGTGGGAGAGAAGAGTGTTAGCCAGGTCAATGGAGA